CCCATAGCGGTGCCACTGGTCTGGAGGTATATATTGTCACCAAATTTGAAATAATTGTGCGTGAGAATAAAGTCACAGAGCTCAGCCACAAGTTGTGCTGTGTCATCATCAGGGATACTGTTCCTGACAGCTTGTATTCCATCTGTGTGTGGGATGTTTGTGTAGAGAGCCTCTACATCCATGATGGCTAGGATGGTGTTTTCTGGGAGGTCACCAATGCATTGTAGTTTTCTCAGGAAATCTGTGGTGTCACGGAGATAGCTGGGAGTGCTGGTGGCGTAGGGTCTGAGTAGGGAGTCCACATATCCAGACAGTCCTTCAGTGAGAGTGCCAATGCCCGCGATGATGGGGCGTCCAGGATTTCCAGGTTTGTGGATCTTGGGTAGTAGATAGAAAAACTGCAGAAACAAAACTTCAAACTATGGTGTGACGGGATCCCCAGGGTGCAGCCTGGGACTGTGGGACTGCTGTGCCCCCTGACCTCTCTCTAGCCTGGGCTGTCTCTCACAATGCCTTGCTAGTTACAAACAGCAACCCCCTTCCAGGCATTGTTATCACTCAGCACAACAGCATGTGGAGCCCCACACTGAGCTCCCAGATCCACTCATGAATCACACAGAGAAAGGCACCAGCCAGATCCCCCCAGCTCCCAGCACTGTACCTCAGGACAATACTATCTAATTTATTAATTGGTTTACCACTTCATCAGTGGAAAGTGGATACACACCAGGTCACAACACCCTGAGCAGGGAGCCAGGCCCAGCCCTGTGGGACAGAAGACACCACTGCAGGGTTTTTGGGGGTGTCAGTGCTAAGGTTACCATATGTCCGGTTTTTCCCGGACACGTCCGGTTTTTTGGTCCTCAAATCCCCATCCGGGGGGAATTTCCAAAAAGCCGAACATATCCGGGAAAATACTCCCAGCTTTGCCGGCATCCCTGCCCCAGTCTCGGGCTTACCTTAGAGCGGCTCCGGCAGGCTGCGAGCTGCAGGCGGATTCCCCCGCCGCGGCAGCGGTGGCTGCTGCTGCTCCCAGACACCTCAGCTCTGTGCATCTGAAGAGCCGAGCTGCCCGAGCGCTACCAGCTTCATGGTTTGCCGGGCAGCCCCCAGACCTCCAGACCCTGCGCGCCCAGGGCGCTTCCCCAGCGCAGCAGCAGCCGGAGCCCGGGAGGGGAAGCGCCCAGCTGGGGGCGCAGGGTCTGGAGGTCTGGGGGCTGCCTGGCAAACCGTGAAGCCGGTAGCACTCGGGCAGCTCGGCTCTTCAGCTGCACAGAGCTGAGGTGTCTGGGAGCAGCAGCATGGAGTTTCTCATTTATTTTTTCTCAGTGACTTTTCCAGCTCATGTTTGCTCAGCTTATAAGTCAAAATTCATTTTTCTCCTAGCTCCACAGATCCAACCTAGGCTGTGAAAATGTGTTCAATCTACCTCATACGGTAGAACATGTAATAAAGATTCTGCAGGTGGAGTTTAGGTGAAAATATTATTGATGATCTGAACTAGGGTCTCCACAAGTTAAAAGCCAGTTCACTGTATCACTGAGTTCCCCTTTATTTATTGCTGTTGTCTCATTTCTTTAAACCAAAACCTCCTGGAGAGTTCTTGGGAATTGTTCTTTTAAAAACACATTTATGGCTAACGGTAGGTGGACGTGCATTTATCCTGCAGTGCAAACGCATCCTTCTATAGTATCTTCGGTTCCTCTTGATACCTAATCCTCTTCTTTGGCAAAGTAAATAATAAGAGACACTCTTACAGATCAGATTAAGCTTCCAGTCTCTTTTTAAAAGGATGGGAGATCAATACCATTACCAAAGCCATTACCATTTCAGCTGTGCTCTGTGTACAGTAAGAGAGCAGAGAGGTACTTCTACTATTATACAGACCTACACCTTCACTGTACGGGTGTGCTATATGCTGCCTCCACCCGTCCCCCTCCGATGTGACTGACTGTGCCCAGTATCAGAGAAACGGGGTTGGTGTTGAACTAAGGAGCCTTTCACTCTTTGGTCTCTGGTTCAGGTCACTAGTATTGTCCATTTTTAGGCTGAAGCCTGTGAATATGGCACCAGGATGGCCTGAGAGACAATGCTTTTGCCTTATTCAGAGTTAATTTTCTATCCCAGATCACACTAAATCAGGAAGAGAAGGAACTTGAACCTGGGTTTCCCACATCACAGGGCAGTGCTCGGTCTAAGCACCAGACTATGGAGTTTCTCTAACTTGCTCCTGTGTCTCCATGAAATGTTTCCCTTTCAATGAAGCAGCATATTTCAACAACATCACCAGCTGTGGATACAGCATTAGGACAGTCCCTGCCTCAAAGAGCTTACCATGTAAGTAACATCACACCACAGTCAGCACTAATTCGTTCCTCTCTTGGCAGGCTCAGCAGAGAGGTTAAGGACTACACGGACCATGGAGTCTGAAATCCTCTGTCATCCTGAGAGATGGCCCCTCTAGGTCAGGACTGAGTCATAGCAGCGGAACTGAGAAGGGGAAGTGGACGTTGCTGCTGCCCAAGCTGTACTTCTACGGTGCATAAATAGAGGACTCCAGATTTTATGGCTTTCAATCAGCTGTCATTCAGAAGTACTAAATTCACGGCATGCTGAAGCAGTAGGGTATAGCAGTTTTTGGATGACTATAAGCTGCCATGTGTGTTGTAAGACCTGAGGCAGAGGGCAAATTATTACAATGTGCAGTCATCTTCTATAAGTTCATAGTGGCTTAAGATGATCTAACTGCTGCCATGGAAGGGAGGAAGGTGTGGTCTCTTGTTAGACCAAGCTACTAGAAGCCAGAATTTGGGGTTCTGTTCCCAGCCACTGACACACCTATGTGGCCAGTGTGAGCTGCGTGTCCTGACTGCTCCCAAAAACTGAGCGCCGGGGCAGATCCTCCACTGGTGTAAACTGAGCAGCTTCATTAAAGTCATGTGAGTCTACACCAGTGGAGTGCCTGACTCTAGAATTGGTGCAGCTGTTTCGCGTGGCTGGGAGGGAGGAGGGGGAATGCGGGGCGCTCAGGGGAGGGGGCAGAGTTGGGGCAGGGACTTTGGGGAAGGGGTTGGAATGGGGGCAGGGAATGGGCGGGGCCAGGGGGAGGGGAAGGGGCAGAGTTGGGGCAGGGCCGGGGCCCCGTGGAGTGTCCTCTTTTTTCAATGTTCAAATATGGTAACCCTAGTCAGTGGGCCCATGAACCCCTGATAAAACCACCCTGGTATGAACTTCTCCTCATGTCTGTGCTCCTCCCACGTCTCATTCTTTATAACCCACTAGATGGGCTCTCTGGCCTGTGAGCCGGACATCAGCAACACTTGCTGTTTGCAGTCAGGATGCTCTTAGCGGGTATCTGAAGAGATGAGCAGCTTTCCGAGTCAGGGCAGACACTGTAAATTCCTCCTACTAACCCGAAGAGCTCTGGGATCTGCGTGCCCCCAGGAGCAGGTCATGGGGCTGCCAGAGGAGAACGTCCACCAGCCACTTCCTTCCTATGCCCTCCTGAGGTGTGCAGCTCCGAGCACGCTGAGATCCATGGCTACAACTGCACAAACCAGGAGGGGGCAAGGGTCAAAAACCTGCCTCCACCTACAGCCTGACAACGTGGGTCCCCAGACTGTGCCATCAAAACAGAGACACTCAGGCTGTATCTTCAAAATGAGATGGACTGTAGCTTGTCAGAGTAAGCCAAAAAGTCTGGACACCGATGGCTTCTGGGAAAACAATACAGCAAAAACCAAGGTGCAGCACCTGGACCTTTCTAGCAATTGGCCCCAAGTCCCCAAATTCTATTGCCTGTATAGGGCTTGATTCTGCTTCTATTGAAGTCAATGTCAACACTCCCAGGGAGCCCACAGAGAAATAAAGCTACTGTTACTGCACGAAAAATCCTGCCTATGATGCTCTAACCTGAGCTGTCGACTCTTGATGCTGGTGATCTGGCTGTTCAGGCACCTTCATTCTGGCATTTCACAATGTTTGCATCCTTGTTTTTGCCACCTGAACTTTTTTTAATGTAGTTCTCTGTATGGAATTGAATGTCAATTGTCCCATCATGCAATGCCAGTCGTAACTGTACTGCCTGCCTGCAGCGTGCCTTCACCGCAGAGAAGGCAGATTTCAGGGACTATAGCTTAGTCTACACTTGCAATCGAACGACAGAACTTTTGTCATTCACAGGTTCTTAACCCCCATCCCGCCCCGAACAACAAATGTTTTGCCGCGGCAAGTGCAAGTGTAAATGGCGCTTTGTCGACACAGCCTTGTTGCTAAAAGCTGCGTAGTGTAGATGTAGCCTAAATGTTCTCCGGTTTACACTGTCTAAAGGACAGGAGGATTTGGCAAAGCTTGCCACACAAAGCAAAGAGAGGTTCAAAATGGCCGGAGCTTTGAATCCTTAGTGTTCTGTAGCATTTCTATTTACAGAAATTTCCAAAGCATCAGTAACCCTGACTTTCTACCTGAGCTTTGTGACACCCCCTCCTCTCCTGAGGGAGTGGAAAGATCCCCTCAGTGCACTTGTAAACATCTGGTGAGTGTGTGTCACACACACACCCCTTGATGGCTGAGCCACAGGGTTTGTGGGTTTTTACAGCTCTGAACTTCACAGACTGACACTTTAGCTCCAGCTGTAGAGACTTGTGCTAAGCGCTGTAGGTCCCCACGTCAATCCCCAGTGGGTGTTGGGGTGGGTTAGACAGTTACTGCCTGTGGAGTAGGGGATATGCTCTCCCTTCCAGGCCTACAGCAATACACATCCGTTTTCTTCATATTCTTCCCCCTTTCTCCATTGCCCCCTGTTCTCCCATCCCTGCTCCCCACCTCCAGCCATTCCTTCTCCCTGTCCTTCCCCCTCTTTTACTCTCCTTCAGTTTCACTTTCCTGCTTTCTCCCCCTCCCCCTCCTGGCTCCTCCTTTTTCTTCGTCTCCTTCTGTGGCTGGGACTAGCGGATACTTGCAGGCGGCCCCTCCCAGTGTCAGCACAAGCCCACACTGTGCAGAGCCAAGGGCAGAGAGAACAGACACTCACCCGGCTGCCATGGCCTCCACAGCTGCAGCAGGGGACATAGAAGATGATGCCATTTGCTCCATCTGCCTGGAGTATCTGACAGAGCCGGTGACTATAGCGTGTGGGCACAACTTCTGCCGAGCCTGCATCACCCAGTACTGTGAGGAAAAGGGAACGGGGACACCCCTGACCTGTCCCCAGTGCAGAGCCCAATTCCAGAAAGGGGAGTTCAAACCCAACACCCAGCTGAACAACATCGTACAAAAGATCAAACAACTGGGGTTAAAACCAGGAAAAGGGCAAAAGGAGGATCTGTGTGAGAGACATGAGGAACGTCTCAAACTCTTCTGTGAGGACGATGGAGAAACTATTTGCTTGGTGTGTGAGAAATCCCGGGACCACAAGTCTCACACGGTGGTTCCCAAGGAGGAGGCTGCCCAGGAGTACAAGGTAGGAAATGCTGTTGACTTTGCTTAATTAAACCCCTTAAGAACACCAGGTTTATCCCCCATCAACGCAAGGACAAATATTCATTCCTGGCTGCTTAAAGTTAGGCACCTAAATGAAAGGGGCCTGGTTTTCAGAGGGGTGAGCACTGGGGGTTTTGGATAATGGGAGAAGATCCAAACTTTTTTTGCTCCAACACTGCAAGTTCCAATACCTAATAGAGAGAACAGGCTGATGGCTCTTTGTGCACCTGCAACCTGTCTGCCAAGTGGAGTGGGCTGCAAGAACATAAGACCATAAGAACAGCCAACCCCTGTCGGACCAAAGGTCCATCTAGCCCAGTATCCTGTCTTCCAACTGTGGCCAATGCCAGGTGTCCCAGAGGGAATGAACAGAACAAATAATCATCAAGTGATCCATCCCCTGTTGCCCATTCCCAGCTTCTGGGAACAGCTTCTGAACAGCTGATCCATGGCGGGTGGGAGGCGCTGGGAGGACGGGGGAGGAGCTGATCTCAGGGCCACCAGTGGGCAGGAGGCATTGGGGGCAGGGGAAGAGCTGACTGGCGGGGCTGCCAGTAGGTGCTGAACACCCACTCTTTTTATTCCATGGTTGCTCCAGCCTGGAGCACCCACAGAGCTGGTGCCTATGGTAGAAAAGAAACTTTAAATGAGAGGAGGGAAGTCACCCAGCATTAATTAAGGAAAATGCCACACGCAGGATTCATAAACATAAAACTGTGAGCAAAACACCCACTCGAGCGTATGTTGGTCAGTGTCTTCTGCCTCATGCTCTTGAGTTCTACAACCGAAAGTTCCTTTGCTGTGCCCCTCTCTGCTCCCTCACCACACCTCACTCACAGTGGTTGTCCTTGGTCAGTGAAGACTCAGGGTTCAGAGGTGCATCTGTGTGAGCTCACCTCCCACCCTGGTGGGAGGGGGAGGAGGAGGAAGGCACCTTGCTTGCTCCACTGTCCAAGTATTTGCTCTGGTGTCACCACCCTGCTGCACACCCCACTGGCCCACTCCACTGGCAGCCCTGCCAGCCATCTTCTCTGCTATAACCTCTGCAGATCAGGGCATGTCTACACTTGCAATTTAAAGCAGAAAAAGGTCCCCTTTTTGCGCAAAAACCTAGTGTCTTGAGGTTCTACGCTGCTCTTAGTGGGCAGCTTTATTGTGCTGTAACTCGCAAGTGTAGCCAAGGCCTTAAAGGGGGAATTTCCTTGCTGAAGCAGGCTGGGCCGAAACGCTGTCCCACATCAAGTGATTTCAGCTCTAGTGATCACTTAAAAAACAAAAGACTCCGAATGGAGCCTTAATTAGTTCTGTCTTTGAACAGTGGAGAGGAGCAAGTTAAACCATGCCTAGGACTCTTGGGTAAAGTCCACACTTCCCAGCAAGCACATCTGTGCCCACCCCCTCTTAACCTTAACAGGGGTCTGGCATCCAAGTCCCCTGCTTAGCGAGTTCAGTTCAGTGGAGGGTGACCCCCTCAATCAGGACAGGCTAAGTGCTACTCTGCTGCCCTTTACTCATACGATAAAGATAACACTATTTCATTACCCCCACATTCGATACTGAAGTGATCTGTAATCCAGCACCAGCCACAGGTGATCACTTTGGCAACACAGCTCTGTCTGCTGGATACCTAGGCCTTGGCTACACTCACGGATTCACAGTGCTGCCGCGGCAGCACTGTGAAGCGTGAGTGTAGTCGCGCCGCCAGCGCTGCGAGAGCTGTCTCGCAGCGCTGCAAGTACTCCACCTCTCCGAGGGGAATAGCTTGCAGCGCTGCGAGCGAGCGTGCAGCGCTGCAGGTGCTGATTACACTGGCGCTGCACTCGCTGCGCTCGGGGGGGGGTGTTTTTTCACACCCCTGAGCATAGCAAGTGCAGCGCTGTGAATTGCCAGTGTAGCCAAGGCCCTAGGCAGAGTTGGAGTGTTCATGTAAATACAGTCTGCATCTGAAGCCTTTTCCCCACCCCAGCTAGCTGTCAGAGGAGAGCTCATTCAGACCCTGCTTGCATACAAAACAATCTGGACCCTGACACATCCCTGCACGTCAGTGGCACAGAAAGCCACAGCTGGTACCTGCGTCCTGCTCTTCTTTCTCTCCCCATGTCCTGTTCTTCCCTTCTCCTTCAGCTCTTACCCATCCAGCAGCCCTGCTCCACCCATATGAACTCCTGCAGCCATTAGTCTAGATAGCATTAGGAGTATGTGGGGTGGCCTTACAGCTTATGTACACCATGTATTATACACCAGGATGTACACACCACGGTATTATAATTGACTGACAAAGTTGGGGCCATCTGTGTCCTAACACAGTTGGGTTTTGGCAGCGTGGGTGGGACAATACGATCCTGGAACCACATTACAGAAACATGTTATTGCTCCCATCCCATCTGTGTCTGTGTCTGTGTCTGTGTCTGCCCTGGAGAGTGGGAGGCTGGGGATGGGACACTGCTGAGGATGCAGGGTCCAGGGTGGCCTGGGTGGTGAGTGGGTGGCCTGGCACTGGCAACAGCGAGTGACCCGGTCCCAGCCTGCTCCGCCCTGCCCTGCCGGCTCCCAGAATCACTCAGGGGAGGAGTCGGACTCTGGAAAGAGGCAGGGTGGGGGCTTGGTGGAAGGGGTGGAATGGGAGCGGGAGGGGGCAGCGCAGGGGCGGGAGGCGTTGGGACAGAGCAGGGGCGGGAGGAGGTGAGGCAGGGGCTTGGGGGAAGAGGTGGAGTGGGGAAAGGCAGGGCGGAACAGGGGCAGGAACAGGCAGGGTAGAATGGAGCAGGACAGGCTGGGTCCGTGTCGCTTGCTGCTGCCAGCGCCAGGTTCCCACTAGCCCCCCAGTCTGCCCTGGACCCCACATCCCCCGGAAGCGTGGGGCTCCCCAAAGTGCATGGCCCGGGGCGGTTGTCCCGGTCCATCCTATAGATGGGATGGCTCTGAAAATATAAGCCCAAACATTGGTGGAGCCAGGCCCACATTCCTGAATATTGGTGGAGAACGGGCACCACGGGCCCATATAACTTGCTGCCTATGACCCCAGGAGCTCTCAGAAGCAGCTACAGCAGCAGACTCCTTGGGAGGAGAGCAGGAGAGAACTCAAGGGCTCAGAGAAAAGAGAAAGAGTGAAATGGGGAGATCTCTGGCTGGGGCTCAGGAGGGGGCTCTGGGGGGCTGCCATGGGGGTTGCTGTGCTGTGTGAATGAATCACACACTGTCAAAGGGGAAGAGAGCCCTGGGTTATTACAGCTCTGGAGCAGTTATAATTATGGGTGGCACATTCCCCCAGACCGAGTGTGTTCCTTGTTCCTCACTGACCTCCAGCCACATCACAGCGTCACCCTGTACTAGGGTTACCATACGTCCGGTTTTTCCCGGACATGTCCGGCTTTTTGGTAATCAAACCCCCGTCCGGGGGGAATTGGCAAAAAGCCAAACATGTCCGGGAAAATACCGGCCGGACACTTCCCCTCCCGCGGCTGCTCTACTCCTCCCCTGACTCTTTGGCTCTGTTTAAGAGCCGAGCTGCCCGAGCGCTACCGGCTTCACAGTTTGCCGGGCAGCCTCCAGACCCTGCGCCCCTGGCTGGGCACTTCCCCTCCCGGGCTCCAGCTGCGCTGGGGAAGCGCCGGCTGGGGGCGCAGGGTCTGGGGGCTGCCTGGCAAACCGTGAAGCCGGTAGCGCTTGGGCAGCCCTTTTCGCGTGGCTGGGAGGGAGGAGGGGGAGTTAGGGCGGGGACTTTGAGGAAGGGGTGGGGAACGGGCGGAGTTGGGGCGGAGTTGGGGCGGGGCCGGGGTGGGAAAGGGGCGGGGCCAGGTCCCCGTGGAGTGTCCTCTTTTTTTATTTTTTAAATATGGTAACCCTACCCTGTAAAATTAATGGGACTGCGCTGGCTCAGGTGCTCAGCTGCTGCCTGAGGGAGGCCACATGGGCGCTTGGACAGATGAGAGCACAGTGGGGTCTTGTTCCTGGCCTGGGTCAGGGCACAGGGCAGCGAGGTGCTGTCCCAACCGCTTCACTCTCACTGGCAGGAGGGATCGTTCAGAACCTTCCCAGCTGTTTCCCCTCTGGC